AAACACCCCCTAAAATCATTTAAGTCTTTTTGATAGGCTTTTTCAGGACCTACTCAAAAAATGTGTTAGGAGCAGAATTTTTCTGCCATAATCGATCTCAAATAATTGCATTTTAAAATATTAATATGGGTTTTTCACAGATGCTGTTTTCTCATTTCTAGCTAAGTGCAATAATATAATTTTTACAAGGGATATATCTGTTTCTTAGTTATTTGATTCTTCAGATGCAAAATGAAGATAGTATGTGAGTCACACCTTCCCAGGTGTTGTGGAGAGTAAAAGTGCTCCATGTTCCCAAGATTTGGGTGAAAATTCAAAATGTGATGGTTGGCATTCTTAATTCTGACATCATATTATGTTTATGTGTAGTTTATGCTAGGAATTCCTCGGCATCTGTTTTAGGTAACTAAAGGGGAAAACTTACTTTTAGTGTAAAAAAGTGGAAATGTAGTTAAAAGGGAAAAACTCTTCTATATGGAACTGGTCAGAACTGTAGGAATATTTGTGTCAGATCAACATTCAATATTTCTCAGACAGAAAATGGATTAGAATCTAGTCCTGATTTCCTGAGGCCAAGAAGGAATTTCTCACAACCAGACATTTGGATCAAAACTCTGGAGGTGTTCCTTACCTCTATTTTTCATTCTTATGTACCATTAAGGCTGTCCAGTTGGATTTTCAAAAAAAAAAATAAAAAAAATCCTACAGTTTTACCTGGTTATTCATATTGTTCTAACATGTAGTTTGGTTTCTGCCCCCATTCCCATCCTTACCAAGAAAGACTGGGAATAAACATGGTGGGGAAGGAACTCTATTCAGATTGCTGAAGCTGAAGCTTTAAAATTGCGCCAGATCGTAAGATACAGAGTCCCATATGTAACAAATATATATAGAACATGTATTTCAAAGTTCCCACAGATTCTGTGCAAGCTTGTGAGCAGAGAAACTGTTGAACAGGTATTTTATTTAGTCTTCAACAACAGGTGAAGTACAACAAACCCATATCCCATAATGCACCGAGCACCCATGTCAGAGTATGGGGTCTTTACATCCTATAGTAATACTGATGGTGGAGAGGGAAGGCAATGGGACAAAAGATCTGACTTCAGGTTTCCTCACAGCTGCCCCCAGTCCATCCCAAACTTCCTACCATCCAGCAAGTCCACAGCACAAGTCTGAGAAGAGGTGTGGCGGAGCATTCATAACAGGAACCGCTGAACTGTGGCCCATGCCTTCCCCCAACCTGCACATTTCTGTTACCCAGGTGAGTGATTTGTGCCATCTTAGCAATTTAATTCAAGGGCACCTCACGCAGTGTTTCCGTCCAGGCAGATCCACCAGGTGGGGACCAGGACAAAAGTACCAATGGAAGCCCATGTGTCATATGGCTAAACAGTTAAAAGTTACATGGCAAGCTAACACAGGCTTGAATAAAATACATTCCAATCTGCCACTTTGACACAAATGCTTTTGTAGGAATTGGAAACCCAGGTATCGACTTACAATCCTTAGCCTGCTCAGAGTTCCTTCCGTCCTGGACCCTGGCCCTGAGGTAGCCCTAGTCTCTCCCTCCCACCTTTAGCCCCTTTCCTTTCATTCCTGAGCTCTGGTTTTCACCGCAAGGGGCTTCTTCTCGCTCCTGTGAGAATTCTCCAGTGTGCACTGCCTGCCACGACCGATTCACGAATCTATCCACACAGACTCACTGCTGGCCACCCCTTGCGCCCAGGGATGTGCAGTCATGATGCATGATGCTGCTTGCCTTTAGGACTTTGGGCCCCCAGAAGAGGTGCATACATGCCCTTAAAGTGGCTGGAGGCCATCTGGGTAGGAAATACTAGGTTCCCAGCTACTAATACCAAGTGACAGGAGGGTCAGAATGGGTCCCTTTAAGCAAGGGCCCCTCTTTCCTGGGACTGAAGTGCTCCATCTAGGCTGGTACATGGTCAGGAATAAATCACTTCCATATCACAGCAGACCAGGCTAGTTACTGTCTTAGAAATAGTGATACTTTGTATATAGCTGAGCCTTCGGACAAAAATTTTGTTGCAGTTTTATGCTCATTCATGGTGTTGATGGATGGAATTATATTTTTACTCTGCGGGAAAGTTGACAAAGCAAGAATTGGGACCTTAAGCATGTGAACAGCTTAGTCCCCACTTTTCAGCCGAGTCCTGTTCTCAAAGACATAATATGGTAGCTGGAACCCGCTTTGCAAGAATGCTGGAGAGCAGCAGATGAATAAAAATCCAGAGCTGGGGTTTCTTCAAAGGAGTAAACCCTTTAGAAGAACTTGAGAATCCAGATTAAAAAGAACATTTCATTTCCATTTGTAATATACCTAAAAGTGAATTTTTATTAAAAGCAGATCACATCACTTCAGGAAATTCAGAAAACTATATCTAAATACATGGAACATAAGATATTCCTCATCAATTTAGATTCTTATAGCCTCATAAAGATAAAATGCAGATGAATTGATTTAGATCAAGCCTTCATTAAATTTTAGAATTAGCTTTTGGAATCCCATGTATTGCAATGTGCAGAGTCTGATTCCTGAGCATTGTGACAAAGCCATGAGTGGATAATGATAAAGTGCATCATTGCTAGAAATAACACAGTCTGCCTTTGGTTTGTGCTAATAAACTATAAGACAACCTAAATTCCAATTTTAATATGAGAAATCCACCTCATTATAAGTAATCTCAAACTCTGTGTGTTATCAGCATTTTCATGTGTATTCTTTGGTGAGTCTGAACTATAATTTGCTGTTTATGCTTCTAATGTAAATCTCCAATTTCTGGTTGGCCACCCTGGCACTCAACCAGCACTCGAATTTATTTCCATCTCTCCTTATTTCTTACATCAAAAGAGACTGTTGGTTTGAATAACAAACATTCAATCGACTTAGACGTGGGGTGGCAGGCAGCGCAGGCATTACCTGTTTACCTTTTATTGCCTGTTTTGAATTGGCTTTTCTGGGAACAAAACCAATAAGACACGATGTTCCTTCATCTAGTTTTCACCCAGGTTATTTATCAGAAGACACCCCCCACCCCCGGCCCCCACCCCATGGTGGGGTGAAGAATTCAGCCTGGGAGCAGGCTTCCAACCTAACACTATCATGGATTATTTCTCTCCCAAGTCATGAAGGACTTCATTGTCCGAAAGACTCTGGCTTGGGCTGATAATTGTTTCTGATTCCAGGACCTGCTGCTAACACATTTGTAAGCCGTGGAACGACAGTGTGCTGGGAACGGAACGCACACTCTTTGAGCCACTTTGAGACTTTGCAAGGGTTCCCCCCGCACCACCCCTGCCCTCGCTGTCTGGCACAGTCATTGGCCTGCTAAAAGGCAGAAACAATTTATTACACCTCGGGTGGTACTTAAAACAAACTTTATTCTCAGGAACAGCAGTTATGTCTCCTTGCTGCTGTATATGTTGCTATTTCCTCTAAATACTAAGTCTGTAGATATTCAATCAAATTGCTAATCACTCAATTTCCCTGCCACTTTCCTGGTTCTCCAGGTTGCCTCTCATGATACTCCATGTAAACACTGTATTTGCAAAGATACACAGATCAGCATCCCTAGAGTCACATGATCACATCAATCTGTGAAAATAGCATGACTTAAAAATTAAAGTCTCTTAGTACTCTGCCAACAGGCTTTGGCATGATCTTGGCAATCGCTTAGATTTTTTTTTTTTTTTTGCTGTTATAATTTTTCCCAAGTGGAAATAGTCTCATATTTTGCAGAAGTTGTCCAAGCTAGTGAACATCGATCCATCTTCCTGGGTACTAAATTCGTCAGCTGAACGCATTCAGTCCACATAGGAACCAGTAAAGTGAGTGTGGAACTGCTTGGTGGCTGCTCCTTTCATCTTAAGAAATTGCAATACAAATTCCTGAAATCATTTACGCAGGAATTTTTATTCTTTAAATCTTCCAGTGTTAAAGCAACAAGAAAACACTTAGAATGTCCTTTGGTGGAATCTTATTACACTTGTTATATATGTAAACTGATATTCTTTGATGCCAGCACGTTCGTTGCCCTTACAGAGAAATCTCTGCACAATGAAAACAAAACAGAACGCAAGAGGACAAAATAAAATGTCAGTCTTTGCTGCTTCGAATTAGATACATTAACAGATTGTCTGGTAACACAAATTGGCAAGAATACAAAAAATCTACATATTACAGTATTTCAAGAAAAATAACTTCATTTGAATACAAAAGGATAGATACACTTTCTTTTTTCCTAGAGCCACTCTTGGACAGTGGATGTGTGCTCGCACTGAGAACGACTTCAGTGCTGCTAAGATATAGGGGGTATGACTGGCTTGAGCTTTTGGAGGGGGCTGTTACACATGTGCGTTACTAACATCAGACAAAGAAATCTTTCAACCAACAAGGGTTACAGAGCAACGTTCACTAAAGCACAGGTTGGAAGGGGTTCAGGGACTGAAGCAGGCCAATATGGCAGCTTGTAACAGATTTCCTTATACCCACAGTGCACTGCCAACAAAGAATGCTTCTGTTTGGTTGGTCCACACACTGGGCCAGTGGTGCTGGGGCACCCCACGGGAGAGTAGCGAGTGGTTGTAGGTTGCTTGATTTGTTTGTTTGTTGTCTTTCCTGTTTCGGGGCGGGGCGGGGGGGGGGCTGTCGCTCCTTCCCAGTCGGCAATAAGCTCTGCAGCTGGCCGTGTGACTTGCGGTGATAGGATCAACAGCTGCCAACGCCTCTGGAGTCAGAAATGAACAGTCTTTACTCGGATGTGCTGTCCACGGCTGATCAATATGGCTTAGTTCTGTTAGGCCTTCTTAGTTTGTACACGGTGTCGGAGTGGGGGTGTCTGAGGGTGTGTTTCCTATGTTCTCAGCGAATGCTTGCGGGTCGCATTGGCCTCCCCACTCCCCCACCCCCCCCGCGAGCGCGCGGCGGCGGCGGCGGCGGCGGCGGCGGGCCCTGGCCCTGCTGGTGGCCGGCGGCGCGCCTAGACGAGCAGGGGGCTGGCGGTACCCAGCAGCGCGGTCAGCAGCAGCAGCGCGGGGGAGCCGAGCGGGGGCGCCCCTTGGCCGGAGTCGGAGCCGCAGCTGCCCGCCTCCTCGCACCGCAGCTTCTCGCACAGGATGCCCGTGTACGCGGCCGGGCAGAGGCAGCGCACGTTGTTGTAGCACGTCCCTCCGTTCTGGCAGTGCAGGAGCTCGTTGTCGCAGACGTTCGCTGCAGAACGGGGGGGTGGAGGGTGGGGCGCGGGGAGGAGAAGCAGAAGCCATTTCAGTGCATCTAGTACAGCAGGTTTTCAGCTTAAAAACACCTCTACGGATCCTGTGTTTCCGCCCGCCCCCTCCCCTTCCCGCCACAAACTAAGCACGTGACTCCCAATTTCCAAACAAATGTAGTTTGCTGCCTTTGTTTGTTTTAAATCATATTTGTCTTTTTCGTATAGATTTTTGCTGCGATCTTGGATAGTATCATTGTCCATGTCAGGCTATCGAGTACAAAGTAATGCAATACTCCTGGTTTGGCAGTATCTTATCTTCATAGGACTGGGACCTGTTGGGACCTCCTGCGTTTTTAAAGGACAAGTGCCCTGATACAAGAATGCAGAGTTTTAAAGCCAGATGAATGGTAGTTAAAATGCAAAGCGGTATGGCTAAAAGGACCAAGAACCTCAAAGGGGTGGGCCATTCTCCCTGCAGGTGATTCCAGCGGCAGCATGCGGGAAGACAGGGCCTACGCGGAAGGCAGGAGGAGAGAGGGGGTGGGAGGAGGGAGGGGAGGGGGCAGGCAGCATGCTCCAGGCAGGCGGCAGCCAGATCAGAAGAGAGAAAGTGGGAGGAGAGTGAGGATGAGCCGTCATATTTGCCCCTGACAGCCTATTAGGATATTCACTGCCTTGTAAATCCGGGAAGTAGTAGAGTCCAAGGTTACCTTGATTTCCCGGAATGATAAAAAATGCAGTGATGAGACCCTGATTACGAAAATTTCACTATGTCCGTCAATTAATAGAATCGGTTTGAATAAATCAAGCAAGCAATTCCAGATACGAAAATTCATTCATGGTCCCTGTCATGTAATTTTCATCTCTAATAATTACTTATTTCAAAGTTCTGGTTATCCTCATTAATTCCATGTCTCCTATTCTTTTAGATAATCAAGGTTTCACTGATTTAGCAGAATGTTAAATAGGACCCAGGGAAATTAAAATAACAACAAAGAGTAAAAGAGCCAAGAACACTTCCAACAACATATGCTGCTTAAGCATTTAATATACAGAACCACTCTGGAGCGGGGCGGGGGGGGTGGGGTTAGGGGCAGAGCAAAAAAAGTAGATTTTTATAAATTATAACATTTTTCATTTTTAAAAAAATGTCATGGTCAAATTTCCCCAGGGGTACCACAGGAATTAAACACACACACGCACACACACACACACTTAATATTACTATCAAGTTCAAAGTATTAAAAAAAAAAATCTCCCAAGTAGTAATTCAATAATGCTGCTTGTCCATTAATCGTGTTCAGTAGTCATGTCACCTTCAAAGGAAGATTCCTACACACAAACGTTCTAATGCCCTGTGTGCAAATGAGCTGAGGAAAGATAGTAGTGGATGCTCACAGAGTTAATAACAAAGTGCCCTCAGCGGGGCCTTGTTTTACCTTCTTCCACAATAACTCCTTGGCGACCTCTAAGACAGCTGCATAATGTATTGGTACAATTTTCAAAAGTACCCACACTTGCTGTCTGCAAATGTCAGAAGTGACTATTAAGGCCTACTAAATCCTTCAGGTTCCAAATATTGACATACAAGGTGGTGTTGTGGGGGCTCTAATGATTTTATAAGCTGCCTCTCATTGGGTGGGAGAAATCTTGAATATTAGACCCAATTTATAGTATTTTATGTGTCATGGTTAAAAATGTCAAGAGCTGTAGCTGGAGGCAAAAATCTGCAAGTGTAGAGTGGTTCTACTCATGGTCAAAACTAGTTGTTGTTAATTTGAGAAGCATCCATAGGTTTTCAGCATTTTGTTTTGCTTACACTTCAGGAAATATCTGTTTAATTGGGGTAACATGGAAGAAACAGATCCAAATAACTGTTTCCATTTAAAGTTAAAGATTCTTAGCATTTCTAGTACCAGGCAGCAGATTGCTGAATGGGATAGTTCCTTCTATTTGGGCACCAGAGGTAGGGAAATATCTGTTCTATCAATATCAATAATTGCTTGCCTTGGATAATTGAGAAGAAATCAATAGTTAATTAGATAGTGCTCCCCTTCAAAAAAAAAAAAAGCTATTTTTCTTCTTGGACTTGAAGGTAAATCAGTTGCTGAACAGAGATTTCTTTCTTTTTCCTTTCTTTTTTTTTTTCCCCAAGAAGCTGGTGATTAAGTTAAAATCCAATACCTTTCTTACATTTAAATAATCTGTTAGTTGATGTTGGTGAGTGTGAAAAATTCAATAACTAGACAAGGAGCAGATGTAACCCAGGATTCATAATATCATGGATTGGGGAAGTAAATTTTTTTCTGTAAGAGATAAACAGAAAAAATCAAATCTAGAATATATTTTCATTACTTTAGAATTTGCTATAAGACTTTTTACATTTAGTCTCCTGATTGTGTGATTCGACAAACACAGAACTTCATAGCTATGTGCAGCATTCTGTTGGAATCACGTGCTAGAAGCACATCTGAACCTAACTACAGATCTTACTTGCTATTCATAAATTTATCCTTCATCTTCATGTCTTTTTGAACCAAATTTGTGGTGCTTAATGAATAAACTAGGTGGCTAACAAATATCACTGAGCTCTTCTTCAGCATATGAAGCCTTTTACGAAACACCATGAACAGATAAAAAATGATAAAGCGTGATCTCTGCTCTTATGGAGTTCAAGTCTGGTTGGGAAGATAAAATATAGGCAAGACACGATCTAATAATAATTTCATTAGCATGCCTTTATCAATTCCATCCGCCTCAGCCAACATCTGTTGTGGGCCAAGCACCCCGCTTGATTGTACTGTTGTACCTGCCCTAAAGGAGCTCACAGTTTGGCAGAAAACAAATGAAAACGAACATGCGGAAATAACTGTGATACAAAAAAAGACTATAAAGGAAGTATTTGCAAAATGCTAGGGGAACTGAGATGCTGGTGTAAATAATTATTTGGAGGAAGATTAGAAAAGATTCTAGGAAGGAGATTGTATTTGAACAGTAGTGCAGCAGGTATTGGTAGAAGGAGTATTATGGATGGGGAAACTGTATGAGTATGGACTGGGAGACTTGCAAGTGCAGAGTGCTGGTTATTAAGCAACTGTCTCTCAACTCTAAAAGCACCCTTCTTTCTGCACGTCGTCTCGGGCTTCCACCGACAGGGGAGTGTTGCCCTATGACGGCCCTTCACCCCGGTAGCAGCATTTGGTCCCAGTGTGTAGCTTTATTCAGAACCGGCTTTATTCCCCCACCCCCTCCCCCCTCAGAAGGTTCCTGCACCAACCCAGCAGCGTTCCTTCCCTAGAAGTTCAAGCTCAGCTCTAAGGGGCCCTGCCCAGGTTTCAGAGGTCCCAGGCAGCAGTCGGGCATTATGTTCCCCCATGTCTGTGGGGTCTCCCCTCTGTCCTTTTAGTTTCTAATAACCCATACTCTTTCCTGTGATCCCGCTGCCTAGGAGTGGTGCTGCCCCCTGCTTATTCAGTCTCTACTATCTCTGAGTGACTTCAGTGTCCTCGTCTCATTTCTAAATTCCAAGACACCCGTTTAACTGTTCCCTTTAATGAATTTTCTCTGTTGAGATGCCCAGTGTGGTTTCAGTTTTCTGACAGGAGCCTGAGTGAGAGACGCATGGAACACACTGGCAAATGGTGAACGGACTGGTGTGGCTGGAACGTCGGATGTGCACAGGGCAAATGGAGACTAGAAACGTAGGCTGTGGCCTGGTTGTGTACCTTCTACATAACACACCACACAGAGTTTCGATAATAGGCAATGGGAAGCTGTCAAAGACCTAGGAGCAGGGTGGTGTTTTAAAGGGGGGGAGAAACAGGTGAGGCTTAGCCAGAGAAAGGACAGACTGGAGGCGAGGGGCCCAGATGCTTCGGTAGAATGGGCTTGGTCTGGTTAGAGCAATGGCGAGGGAGAGGGGATAGATTTGGACGCGGGCGATTTGAAATGGTTAAGAGAGATTCTGAGGTTCCAGTTTTCAGTATTCGGATGCATCGTAATAAAATTTATAAAGAAAAGTAGATTGGAGGAAGACTTTGGGCAGGGAAGAAAATGCACTTTTTTGGACCTATTGACTTTGAGGGGTCTGTAGGCTCTTCTTCAGGGGTCTTGTTCTTAGCTGGAAAAACCGGTTAACCATTCAGGAGGTAGGTCATCCTGGAGTTAGAGGTTTGGAGTAGGGGTGCTGGTGGTCATTGTTACAGATGGAAGTGAAGGGACTAGAAGACCTAATCTTGGTAGAATGTAGCGTAAGGACAAGTGAAGGCTCTGGATAGAACACTGAAGAACATCAGCATCTAGGCCACAGGAAGAGAATGAAAGATCACGAAGGGTCCTGGGAAGAAAAGATGTCAACAAGATGCAGTGATCATATGAGGGTATACAATTAATTCTAGAAGCCTTTCTGCTGTGGGTGACTTTATCTAGGATAAGAAAACAGACTGGAAGAGTGTGAAAGAAGGGTACTTTGAGTGAAGGATATTGCAAAATAAGGATTACATGTTCTTGATTGAATCTGACAGAAGGGATTTGGGAATAATTAAAAAAAGGATTGGAGAAATTTAAGGAATTAACATTTAACAGAGGTCTTTGTTTGTCAGTCTAAAGTAATGCTTTTCAACAGTGGATGATTTTGTCTCCTGGGGGAAATTTGACAATGTCTGCAGACATTTGGTTGTCACACCTCAGGGGAGGGCATGCTACTGGCCTCTAGTGGATAGAAGCCAGAGATGATGCTAAATATCCCACAATGCACAGGACAGCTCCCCCGCCCCCGGCCCCACCCCAAACAAAGAATCACTCTTCAATTAATGTCGATGGTAAAATGATGAAGTTCTGGACCAGGGTGTCAGCCATAGCAACGAAGAGGAGCGGTTGTCCTTACATATACTGGGCAAAGGGGAATGAAGATGCCTTGCTGATTCTAGATCACAGAGAGATAGTGAGTTTTTAGGTGCAGAGCCACGGGAATTAGAGGCGACTGTAAATACTCAAAGTT